GGAGGTGCCGGGGCGACGTCGAAGGCGGAACGGGGCGATTGCCGAGTGGGAGGCGGCCAAGAAAGCAATATTCCAGGAGCGGAGCTGCCAGGGCGACGTCGGCGGCGGGGCGGGAAAATTGTTAACCGGGGGGTCCGAAGAATATAACTTTCCAGGGGTGGAGGTGCCAGGGCGAGGTCGGCGGCGGGCCGGAACAATTATCCATTGGGGGGGCCCGAGAATGCTATTCTCCAGCGGGCTGGCGGTGTCGAGCGCGGCGGGGGCGCGGCGGGGGGCGGCGGCGAGGTTTGCGCAGGGCGGGTGGCCCTTGAGAACTTACCAGGGCGCCAGGGGGCTGGCGGTGTCAGGCGCGGCGAGGACGCGGCGGGGGGTGCCGGCGATGTTTCTGCAGGGTGGGTGGCCCCTCCCCCTCGGAACCAAGGCCCAGGGCGCCGGGGGGCTGTCGGTGTCAGGCTCGGAGGTGGCGCGGCGGGGACGCCGGCGATGTTTTTCGTGGGCAGGGTGGCCCCGGAGAACCTTGGCCCAGGACGCCGAGGGGCTGGCAGTGTCAGGCGCGGCGGGCGCGTGCGGGGGGGGGGGGGGCGCCGGCGACGTTTGTGCAGGGTGGGTGGCCCCTAAGAACCTGGCCCCAGGACGCCAGGGGGCTGGCGGCGTCAGGCGCGGCGGGAGGCGCCGGCGAATTTTTTTGCAGGGCGGGTGGCCCCTGAGAGCGCCAAGGAGGTGGGTGTCGGTGTCAGGCTCGGAGGTGGCATGGCGGGGGGCGCCGGCGAGGTTTTTGCAGGGTGGGTGGCCCCTGAGAACCTAGGCCCAGGCCCCTGAGAACCTAGACCCAGGACGCCAGGGAGCTTGCGGTGTCAGACGTTGCGGCGGCGTGGCGGGGGGCGCCCGCCATGTTTTTGCCGGGCGCGTTGGCCCCGAAGAACCTAGGCCAAGGGCGCCAGCCCGCAGAGGACCGAAGCGCGAGGCCCCAGCCCGCAGAGGTCCCAGGAACGGCGCTCTCGCATGAGACTTCTTCGCGATTCAATCAAGTTCGCGGATGCCCGGCCGCGACGACAAGGCCCGCGCTCGATGTTCTTTCGCGATCAGGGAGGCCCTGGCCAGAGAGGTTCCGGAACTCAGCAACAGTGCTCTCGCTGTGGACATCCTCGTAGCTCAATCAAGTTAGTGGGGGCGCAGCCGCGATGACAAGGGTTCCCGCTCGATGCTTCCTCGCGATTTGCTCCGAGAGGCCCTCTCGCGTGGTCCATTATTCGCTTCCCCGTCCGTCCTCCCTTCCCCTGTTTTAGGGGTTGCGCTAAATGTGCGCGGCAGGTAAGGAAGATATACCCCCGAAGGGGTACTGTCGAAGACAAAGAGGGCGGGTATCAATGGATTGGGATATAAGTGTTGCGTGGCACGCGATCACATAAGAACAATATTGATTAAAATGTTCGTTGTTGTTGTTATCGAATTCTCATTTCTGAAAAATAATTATTGTTGGTCCCCTCTCACCGGTGCATGCTGATTTTTCTCAATCAAAGTGTGCCCCTCGTCGCTCGCATCCTGTTTTCTGATAGGGGAAGTCTTCGTGTTCAAACTGTGCCCTTGGCCTCTCGGGTTGCAGCAACAACGGCTCCCGCTTGAGATTTCTTCCGGATTTACTCAGGAACCCCGCTCCCGCTTCAGACTTCCTCACAATTTACTCGGGATCGGTGCTCCCGCCTGTGACCTCTTCGCAATTTAGTCAGGACCCCCGCTCCCATCTGATGTTTCTTCACATTTTACTCTGGAACGGCGCTCCCGCTTGAGACTTCTTCGCGCTTGAGTGAAGATCTCTTGGCAATTTGAACAAGACCCCCGCTCCCGCCAGAGAGCCCTCCAACTTTTTCCAGGAATTGCGCTTTCGCCTGTGGCTTCCATACGATTTTTTCAAAAGTCGCGCTTTCGACGCTCGGGAAACACGCTGCGCCCAGGACGTTGCCACAATTTACTTAGGAATCGCGCTCTCGCCATACTCAGGCATCCCGCTTGAATGTCCCACCCGCCCGACCTGCCCGTCAGGGGATCGCCCGCCCGTCGTGGGCTCCCGCCCGAGAGTTCCTTCAGGAACGGCGCTTTCGTTTAGGACTTCCTCTAACGTTCACGCTCTTACCTTCCTGCTCCTCCTCCCTCTCCCTCCTTCCTCCTCTCCTCCCTTTTCTCTCCCCCCCTCTCTTCCCTCATCCTGATGTCTCTCTGCCCTATCCCGTCTCCCTCCTCTCCCTCCTCCCTTCTCCCTCCCCTCTCCTGCCTTCTCCCTCCCTCTTTTTGTTTCTCTCTCTCTCTCTCTCTCTTTCTCTCCCCTCTCTTTTTGTTGTTTCTCTGTTTCTCTCTCTCTCTCTCTCTCTTTATGTACCTCTCTTGTCTGTCTTGTCGTTCTCTCTCTCTCTCTCTCTCTCTCTCTTTCTCCCTGCCTCTAATCAACCGCCCCCCTCATCGCTCCTTCTCTCCCGGCGTTTTCCCTCTTGCTTCGTCCCTCCCCCTCCCTTCCTCCCACTCTCCTTCGTTCTCCCCCTCTTCTTTTGGCAGTGCCCACACCAATTCCATCGGCGTGCACATTTATACCCACGAAGGATTGTCCGCCCGTTCCGGTTTGCCCGCCTGTCTAAGCCCGCCGCCACCCGCAAAGAGGAAGAATCCCCCCAAAAGGGTGTGATCGAAGACAGCAAGGGCGGGTATCGAGGGTGTGGGGAACTCGTATTGAATGACACACGGGCAAGTAAGAGCGAACAATGTTATAGTGATTGTTGTTCTTGTTGGTGTTGATGTTTGTGTTGGTGTTGGTGTTGTTGTTGGTGGTGGTGGTGGTGGTGGTGTTGTTGTTGTTTGTATTGGTGTTGTTGCTGTTGTTGTTAGTGTTGTCGTTGTCGCCGTCCCACCCGCGACCCACCCGCGACCACCCGCGATCCACCCCGCGACCCACCCCAATACCCACCCCAATACCCACCCCAATACCCACCCCAATACCCATCCGCGACCCACCAGCGAGCCTCCACCGCGACCCACCAGCGACCCACCCGCGACCCACCCAGCGACCCACCCGCGACCCACCCCGCGACCCATCCGCGACCCACCCGCGACTCATTTGCGACCCACCCCGCGACCCACCCGCGGCCCAGTAGCGACCCACCCGCGACCTACCCACATTGGTTTAACGAACGGATCGGCGCCTGCAGCGGGCTCGTCGCATGAGTTGTGAAACTTCGGCACCTGAAGCGGGCTTATCCACAGTTTCGCAAACTGTGGATAAGCCCGCTTCGACGTCCCCACCACCGCCCCCTCACTCCGCATCTGCGGAGTGCTACGTACTCCGTGCCCTCACGGGTGCCTCATGTTAGCCCTTCTTATTTGGCATATCATCGTCTTGCTTGGCAGCTGCTTTAATGTGTTTTCACATGCCCAAGCTCGCGCATTCCATGTGTTTCGCTTTCGTCGCGGGACGCAGCAAACCATGCTTTCGTGTTTATCTAAGCGTATACACGCGGGAAGCTTAGGCGGGGGAGAGACGAGGAGACGGGAACATGAGGAGGAAACAAGAGGCAAGAGGAGGAGGAGGCACGAGGAGGAGGAGGCGGGAGAAGGTGGAGGAAGCGGTGGGGGCGCGAGCAGGAAGGAGGAGGTGGACGAGGCAGGGGGGCGGGGGTATCGCTGGCCCTCGGATTTCGCGCCGCATTGAGGTGGCGGAGCGGTGATCCAGAGGCAAGCGATTGTGTTTTTATTTCGGTCCGGCTGCTCGCTCGATCATGAGCTAAGGAGGCTGAAGTGGGAGCCACTGGAAAAGGAGGGGGCGTGAGGAGGAGGAGGAGGAGGAGGAGGAGGAGTGGGAGGGGGTGGTGGTCATTTTAGAAAGGAAGACACAGGTCCCGATCATATTGATACGCACTTCGACCACGACAACGCTGACGATAAGCATGAGCCAGACACGTCGGGCTTGCACCCTCGTGCCTTGCTGAACTCTGGGCGCGTTTCGGCACTGCTGATGCAGCCACCACCCCCTCGTCAGCGTTTTCGGCCTAGGTGACGGCGACAGCGACCGTGCTAAGAAGCTCTACGCGCCGCGGCTCAGAGACGGGCGATAGGATGTACGGACGGACAGCCAGGCGGCGGAGTATAAGGACGAGGCGGAGGAACGAGGGCAGAGGACATATGAGGATGAGGAGAAGACAGAAAGAGAGGCGGTAAGAAGAGGAGGAGGAGGAGGAGGAGGAGGAGGAGGAGAAGGGCAGGGAGAGGAGGAGGAGGGAGGAGGAGGAGGAGGAGGAGGAGGAGGAGGAGGGAGGAGGAGGAGGAGGAGGAGGAGGAGGAGGGAGGAGGAGGAGGGGGAGGGGGGAGGGGGAGGAGGAGGAGGAGGAGGAGGAGGAGGAGGAGAGGAGGGAGGAGGAGGAAGAGGAGAGGAGGAGGAGGAGGAGGAGGAGGAAGAGGTGGAGCAGGAGGACGAGAGCGGGTGACAGACACACTCGCCACCCTCATGTGTCAGGCCCGAAGCTGCAAAGTCAGGATGAAACCATACACGAACATACACGACATGTCCTCCAATCGGAGTCGCCGCTCACGGGACTGCGCACAGACATCTTGTTTTGGCGACGAACGCGGGGCACCGAAGAAGCAGCTGCATCGTGTTGCGTCATCTCACGTGCAAGGATCGGCCGGACGAGTTTTCGAGGATCGCCTCGGTCATCTCTATATTGTTCTTCTTCGCGATGCTGCTCTCGGCGTGCCTCAACCTGTCTTTGGCCCACCTCTTCTTTCGCCTGTCGCGTGCCCTGTCCCCAGACTTCATTGTTGTGTTGTCTTCTTCGTTCCTGTATTTCGCGTCTCGGGCTCGTCGCATCGATCTCCTCGGGAATTCGACAGTTTGTCCATGCACAAGGCCTTTCGCAAGGACCTTCAATCAGTTGTGGGTCGCCGTGCCATTTTCAATATTGATTGCATGTCAATCCCTCCCATTCTGATTCTCCCTCCGCTGCTTCACCGCGCCCCAGCGCGACGGCTTCGCGCACATCTCGGAGTTGACGCCTCTGTGCGCGGGGGCAGCGCCATTGAACAGGGTGCACGCTGTCATTCGAGGCATTTGATCGCCAGAAGAACACGAGGTCGACTGCGCCGACATAGGCGCGCAGGCTTTTCGCGGAAGGTGGCGCGTACCCGCCTTCGTTTCCAATTTGGTGTGCCACGCTGACGGCCTGTGTAAGCTACCGCGTAAGATCGCGATGCAATCTCGCGTGAGGCCCGTTTCGTTTCGTCGCTTATTTGTCGAGCATGAAAATGTCTTTCCGCTGCCATTTCTTTTCGGAGGCTGACTTGATAACTGTCACTGGTGTGCTCTTCTTCGGGCCCCCCAGGAGGGCCTCGTGGAGGCTTCTGGGGCTGTTTCGAGGCTGTATTGTGCCGTCTGTGGCAACCTCGGCGGCTTATTGGGCGCGTATCCTGAGCCGTCTTGGAGCCATCCTGGAGGCACCTGGAAGACGCCTTGGGCTGCCGGCAGCCCGAAAAGGTGAGAACGCGACAACCACGCAGCAACTGTATGTCATCAGTGGGATGGCTTCTTCGAGCCCTCCTGCAGGGCATCTGGGGCCTCCTGGTGGTCATCTCGGGCCGTCTTGGAGTCATCTTGGGCCGACTTGGAGCCATCTTAGGCCCCCCTGGGGCCATCTTGGCCCTATTGGGGGCAGTTCCGGGGGGCCTTTTTGGAGCCATTTTGGACGTGGGCGGGAAAGCTGTCCAGACATATTTTGTGGGTGGTTGGCGGGTTGTGCCGAAGGCCATTGTAAACATTTTGCATGAGCCATGGAGGGCTGTAAAGTCCAGCACGCCAAGCACCTCCCCGGCAAGCTACGGGGGCGAGGGAACCAAAGCGTTTCCGGCGAACCACCGCCCCCTGCTTGTTGGAGTCGCCGGTGTGACCTGTGTTCTCCGATGTGGAGATCATCGGGAGGGAGAGCTGGAGGGAGGAAGAGAGAGAGGAGGATCAAAGGGAGGAGATGTAGCACGATTGGCTCTTGGGGCCTCCTGGGGGCATCTTCGGGTTCTCCGATCGGGTCTACTGAGCCTCTCGTGGGCCTCTCGGGGGGCCCGTGGGATACTCTGGGGCCTCTTCTCGTGGGCCGTCCGGGCTCTCTTGACCCGTCAGACGTCTTCGGAGGCTGTCTTCGGGGTTGTGTGGGCCGTCTCGGGGGCCATCTTGGGGTACGGCCGGTGTGGAGGTCTTCTCGACCGTCTTGATGGCCTCTTGGCCGGTCTTGTGACTCTCATAGGGGCTCCTTGGATCGTCTTGGATCTATCTTCAGTCGTCTTCGGCAGTTGGACACCCGATGAGAACGCGGCAAGGTGATCACGATTTCTGGCCGTGTTAAGCCCTCCTGAAGGGCCTGCCTCTTGGACTGCCTTTGGGTCCTCTTGAACCGTCTTGAGGCCGTCCTGGAGACATCTTGAGGGAATCTGGATGCCTCTTGGATCCTCTTGGGCCGTTTCGGAGACCATGTTGGACAGTCTTGGGCCGTCTTGGGACCCTTTCGCAGCTGTCTTGAGGCCGTCTTGGATACATGTGGGGCGAACATGGAGTCCTCTTGGGCCGTCTTTGAGACCGTCTTGGGCCAACTTGCAGCCAATCTTGGGCTATTTTGGACGTCTTGGAGGCGAGTTTTCTCACTGTTGCTCTTGGGGGCGGACGGCGGGATCGGCCGAAGCCAATAGGGAATATGTTAGACAAGTCCTAGATAGGTTTGCTCGAAGGACCTTTGCACGCAGGATTGGGCAGCGGACCTATTGGCCTTGGGCGCACCCCGTCATCGTGTTTGTGTCGCTGGCTAGAGGTCACCTTGAGGTCTCCAGGAGGCCTGTTGGGGGCCTCTTGGACGCCTCCTGGGTCTTCTTGGGAATCTCCAGGCGTCTCTCAGGCGCCTCTTTGGGGCCTGGGGACGGTCTCGGTGACGATCTGGGAGTGGAGGGCTCGACATATCATCAATTCGTGTTCACCTTCGTGGGTCCATCTTGGGGGCCTCTTGGGCTCTCTCGAGAACCTCGGAGGCCGTCCTTGGGAGACATTCGGGGCCTCCTGGACCGCGTTGGGCACTGTTGAGAACGAAAATGCGACAAGGTACGAACCATTGAAAAACCGTACGTTGTTAAGGCTGTTCCCACCCTGTGGTGTTGGGTCCTCGTTTCAAAGAGAATGCGCCCTGCATCTACTCCTCTTCTCTCTCCTCTGATCTCCTCTTCTCTCTCCTCCCCTCACCTCCCCTCCTCTCCTCCTTCCCCTCCTCATCCAGGCCAGCACAGCCCTACCACGTCTCCACCGAAGGCCCCAGTGGCCGCGTTCGCATGGCGGCACTGCACCAATTTTAGCACACTCCTCACACGTGTTGTGGCCCATACAGGGAGCTTCACCGAGGGCCCCAGTGGCTGCGTTCTCTCGGCGGCACTGCGCCCAATTCGGCACAATCCTCACGCGCTTCGTGGCTCCATGGGAAGCCCCACAGAAGGCTCCCGTGGCTGCGCTCGCACGGCGGCTCCGCGCCCATGCCGGCACACCCATCGCACGCTTCGTGCCCCCATAGGGAGCTCCACGGAAGGACCCAGTGGTTGCGTTCGCATTGCGGCACCGCGCCAGTTTCGGCACGTCCTTCACATGTGCCGTGGTCCCAAAGGGGTCTCCACCGAGGGCCTCTCAGGCTGTATTCGACTCGCGGCACCGCACCTGGTTCGGCACCCCCCCGACATGTTTTGTTGCCCCATGGAGAGCTCCACCGTAGCCCAGTGTCTGCGTTGGCATGGCGGCACACCCCCGGTATTTCACCGCAGGCCCCAGTGACTGCACTCCCATCGCGGCACCACACCCATTTCGGCCCAGCACTCACACGTTTCGAGGCCCCAAAGGGAGCTCCACCGAATGCCCCAGTAGCTGCCGTTCCTCTTGGCGGCACCGCACCCACTTCGGCACAGTCCTCGCGCGTTTCATGGCTCTCCAGGAAGCTCCACGGAAGGCCCCAGTGGCTGCGTTCGCGCGGCGGCTCCGCGCCCGTTCTGGTACACCCATCACACGCTTCGTGGTCCCAAATGGGTTTCATCGAAGGCCCCAGTGGTTGCGTTCGCATGGCGGCCCTGCACCTTCTTCGGCACAATCCTCACGCGCTTCGTGGCTCCATAGGCAGCTGGACGCATTCGCATGGTGGAACTGCGTCCATGTCGGCACAACTCTCACACATTTCGTATCCCCCGAACGGACTCCACCGAAGAGGATACTCACAACCGCCTTGCTTACAAGTGCATATTGTTTGGCTTTTCGCCAGGATAGTGTTCAATCAGTTTGCCTTATTTGAGCAGACAGTCCAAGATGGTCCCGTGAGGCGACCAGCTTGGGCCATTTTGGGGGGGCCATGCTTGGGAGGCGATTGAGAGGTGGAATCAGTTCGGGCGTGTTTGTCGTCGTCGTATGGGGGCCACGGGAGGGGCGCCCTGAGCACTGGGAGAGCCCAGAACAAGAAACGGCTGTGAATTCTGGGCCCCCATCTGTATGATGTTCTGGGGCAGTCCATTCTAGGCTGACGGCACGGTGGCGGATTGCTATTGCTGACCTGGATCGAAGACGTCTACGGCGATCCCCCCCTGCCTTTCTGAACACGCCCGTGTGGCCAAACGTTGGGCCACAGTCTGGCCAAGCTATGGACCATGCGTTCCTCCAGCCGTTGTGGAACCCTTTGGGGAGCATTGAGGGGAGGAAGAGAAAGAGAGAGAGAGAGAGATAGGGAGAGAGCGAGAGACTTTCAAAAAGGAGAGGGAGGAACGGAAGAAAAAAGGAGGAGGAGAAGGACGAGGAGGAGGCCTCTTGTGGCACTTTCGGGGCCTCCTGGGGGACACCCGGAGCCCCCCATGGGCCGAGGGGCCCCCCAAGGGTATCCCGGGGCCTCTTTGGGGTATCCTGATTTTGGTTCCCTGGAGCTTCTCTTCAAGCCCTCTTGGGGCGTCCTCGGTGCCTCCTGGCCCGTCTGGGAGGAGGAGGAGGAGGAGGAGGAGGAGGAGGAGGAGGAGGAGAAGACTTGGTGGCGTCTTATCTGGCTTAGGAGCCCTCTTGACCGTCTTGGGCTCCGGCGGCCGTCGGCCCCTTCCGCCATCGCGCCCGGCCAGAGGCCCCTTGGACTCCGTTGGGATCTCTCGGGAGGCCTTTCGGAAGCCTCTTGGGGCTCGTCTCTGTTCTTCTCTGCTGGTCGCATCGGGAGTCATCTTGGGGCGGTGGGCTCAACATGGCAGTCCGTGTTCCCCCTCTCTGGCCCGTCTCGGGATCTTCCTGGAGCCCTCGTGGGCCTCCGTGGGGGCCTCTTGGGGCCATCTCAGGTCGGGAAGAGCGCGTTTTGTGGTCACTTGGAGAGGGGGGGGGGCTGAACCGGTCCACCCCCCCCTCCTGGATGGACGGGGGGAATGGGGGGGGGTCAAACCCCTTCTCCCCTCCCCTCCCCTCCCTGCTTCCCCTCTACTCGGGCCCCCCCTCGCCCCCCTCCCCTCCCCCTGCTTCCCCTCTCCTCGGGCTGGCGCTTGCGTCGGCGGCAGCTGGCGACGGCGGCGGGGACGACGATTTCCATTTCTGGGCCGGCGCCAGCCAGCGCCTGCGGCGGCGGGCGGCGGTGGCGGGGAGCGTCGACGAGGACGACGGTGGTGGTGGTGGTGGTGGTGGTGGGTTGTGGTGGTGGTGGCGGTAGCGGTGGTGGTGGTTGTGGTGGTGGTGGTGTGGTGGTTTGTTGTGGTGGTGGTGGTTGTGGCGGTTGGTGGTGGTGGTGGTGGTTTTGCTGGTGGTTTGGTGGTGGTGTGCTGGTGGTTTGTGGTGGTGGGTTGTGGTGGGTCGTGGTGTTGGTGGTGGTGGTTTGGTGGTGGTGTGGTGGTGGTTTGTGGTGGTGGTTGTGGGTTGTGGTTGCGGCGGTGGTTTGTGGAGGTGGTGCTGGTGATGGTGGTGGCGATGGTGGTGGTGGTGGTGTGGTGGTTTGTGGTGGTGGCGGTGGGTTGTGGTGGGTTGTAGTGGGTAGAGGCGGTGGTGGTAGAGGCGGTGGTGGTTGTAGTGTGGTAGATTGTGGTGGTGGTTTGTGGTGGGTTTTTTTTTTTTGTGGTGGTGGTGGTGATGGTGAGTTGTGGTGGTGGTGGTTGTGGTGGTGTGGTGGTGGTGGTGGTGGTGGTGGTGGTACCTTGTGGTGGTGGTGTTGGTTTGAAGACGTTTGTTGTGGTGGTAGTGGTGGTGGTGTGGTTTGTTGTGTTGGCGCTGGGTTGTGATGCTGGTAGTGGTTGTGGGTGGTGGTGTGGTAGATTGTGTGGTTGTGGTGTGGTGGTGGTGGTTTTTTGTGGTGGTGCTGGTGATGGTGAGTTGTGGTGGTGGTTGGTGGTGGTGGTGTGTGTTGGTGGTGGTGGTGGTTGTGTGGTTCTGTTGGTGGTTGTGGTGGGTTGAGGCGGTGGTGGAGGTGGTAGTGGTGGTGGTGGTAGCGATGGTAATCGTCGCTGCGTCCCCGCCGGCGCCGGCGCCAGCGCCGGCGCCAACGGCGCGAGGGCGGGGGGGGTTGGAACCCCCCCCTCCCCCCCGGGCGCTAAGGGGGGGGGTTGAAACCCCTCCCCCCCCCCTTGAGCTGCCTCTGGTCATCGTCGCTGCGTCCCCGCCGTGGGCGCTGCTGGCGGCGGGCCGAGGAGGGGAGGGGGGGGTTGAACCCCCCCCCTCCCTGGGGGTGGGGGGGGAGAAGTCCCCCTGGTTGTGATCGACGGCGCCGAGTGTTGGGGGGGGCCTACCTCCCGGTTTGAAACGCGCCGCCGAATGTTCCCAAGGCAAGCGCCCATGAAACGCGTTCTCTTAGGTCGTCTTGTGGTCCTCCTGCGGGTTTCTGGCGCCGTCTTCGGGCGATCCTGCGGTCCTCGCGGGCCGTCTTGGAGAGTCGTGAGCACGACGCGGCGGGAACTTTACTTGTTTCAAACACCTGCGTCACATCAATACGTTTGGCCTCTTGGGACCCTGTTGAGTGGCGTCTTGGATACGTTGTGGACTGTCTTGAGGCAATATTGGGCGTTTGGTGGCGATCTTTGGGCGATTCGGAGCGCTCTTGGACCGCCTGGGGACACTCTCGGGGCCCCCCTGGCCCCCAGAAAAGTCACGCGGCCGTATGTACCGCCCATTCTTCGCAGTCGCGTTGCCCATCAAAATTATGAAACCACATTGTCGCCCATTCGTGTACATAGATAAAGATGTCCAGCATCACTCATTATAGGTGTTGGCTATGCTTGCAAGATGTCCATTATCAGTTGTTTGTTGTGTCTTGTTTGTTTTCTCTTTTTGTTGTTCCTCTCTCTCTCTCTCTTTCCGGCACGTGCCCATTTCAATGGGACGGGACCAGTTATCTAATTGCTTGCGGTAAGTCCCGCCACCATGCAAGCACAGCTTTCCAGGTGGCGATTGGTTGAGGGGGCACAGAAGGTCGCCACGTGTGACATTTCGTGTCTCTAGATTTGAGATTGCCGTGGTCGGCGATGGTGACGACGATGATGTTGATGATGATGAATTTGATGATGATGATGATGATGATGATGATGATGATGACGATGCTGATGATGCTGCTGATGATGATGATGATTGTGACGGTGGTGGTGATGATTTTGATGATGATGACGATGATTGTGATGCTGGTGATGAGAATGACGATAATGATAGTATGTCTGATGATACTAGTGATTATGATGAGGATGTTTATTATGAGAAGTATGATTATGATGATGCTGATGGGGATGGAGATTAGGATAGGGAGGGGGATGACGATGTTGATGTCGTTGACTGTGACGAAGACGATGATGATGTTGATGATGATGGTGGTGGTGATGACGATGATGAATGTGTTTGTGCTGCTGATGATGGTGATTATGATGATGTGAAGATGGTGATGGTGATGATGCTGTTGGTGATGGTGACGATGCTGATGAATATGGTGGTGACCCTGATAATGCGATGATGACGCTCATGATGTTGCTGCTGATGCTGATGCTGATATTGATGACGATGATGCTGATGGTGATGCTGGTGCTGATGTTTGTGGTGGTGGTTATGATGATGATGTTGGTGGTGATGCTGATGATGCTGATGAGAATGATGATGATGGTGATGATGAAGGTGAGCAGGAGGAGGGAGAAGGTCGTCACACGCGATACCTTTCGTCCTGACTAATTGAAGAACTCTCATTGAACTCGGTTGTGTCCTCCTGTGGTTGTCTTGGCTTCCTATGACGCAATCGTTCGGGTCGCTTGGTGCCCTCTTGGGCAGTCGTAGGGCCCTCTTAGGCCGTCTTGCGGGTCTGCTGGGTCGTCTTGGGGTCCTCTGGGCAGTTTGGTGGGTTCTTCGGGGTCGTCGAGGAGCCCTCCTCGGCTCCCTCTGCATCCCTGTTTCTCTCTCCGACACGTGCCCCCTGAAAAGGGGCGGCACAGACTATGATACCGCCCCCCACGAGCGAAAGTCGGCATGATTCCCGACAGTCTGATCTGGTTTTGCGTCTCTGGGGCCCATCTGCCTCTTGCGCGTTTTTTTAGGCTCGCCCCCCTGAAGAGGGCTTGTTTCTAGTGAGGGCTCGTTTCCATCTTGCCCCCGTGTGCGTCCAGTGGCCTCGCAGCTTTCAACGCGGGCCAGCGCTGGGAGGTACGGGAAATATCTGAAGCAGGCGTCGGACATGTACTCCGCGGGCGACGAGGCACGGGGGAGCAGTGTGATGCAAGCGCAACGGATGGCCGTCTGGACTCTGGTGTGGCTCGAGTGCTTGTTTAGAAGTGTATAAGACGAGCTTTCAGCAGTATTTTATGAATTCGCCATCGTATTTGACAAGTCAGTTCAGATGTAAATGCTCGGACATCAGTTTTTTGGGTTGATGCTGTTGCTGGACGATGCCCTGTCAAGCCGTGTTGTGTTTGCACGCGTGCCCGGTGTTGTTCATCGGCAGAATGAGACAGCTCCACCCTCCACGGCTTCGAAAGGAACTTAGGGACTGTTGTGTGTCCTCGAAGCTCCGTCTTTGCAGTGCACAGTGCATTGGCGTGCGCTAGCGGCTACTAGCCTCGACTCGCGCCGATGCAGCCTCGACTGGTGTCGATTTGGCATCGATTCACGTCGATCAGCGTCGGTCAGTGCCGATTCGCAAGAGCCCGCAGGATGCCACGGCAGGCTCCCACGAGTTGCCACGGAGAACGACCCGCGGACAAACGCAGCCTCGGCAGCGGTGCAGCTCGGTGCGTGGTGCTGCGAGAGTGCCTCGTCCCCAGGCCTCCAAACTTGTGACCGCGCAGGCGGGGTCGAAAGATCGCCGATGCATCGACGATGCGGCTCGATGGGGAGCCCGATTGTGAAGGCCTCACGGCCGGTGCCGCCGACCCTGTATGCGAGGAGGACAGGGAGATGCAACAGGTGGACGATGAGGGGGGGGGGGCTTTTGGGTTTTCCGGAGCATCCTGGGGGTCTGTCGGGAGCCTCCAGGGTGCCTCTGGGGTCTTCGTGGGAGACTTTTGGGGGCCTCTAGGGGCCTCTTGCGGATCCTCGTGGGGCCTCTTGGGGACCCCTGGGGCCGCCAAGAGGTCCCAAGCGGCCTCTGGGGCCACCGCCGCAGCCCTCTTGGCTCAATGCTCAAGCCTGTTCCCTGGGGGTTGAACCATGCTGCTGCCGACGGAGGGGCTGGAGGGCCCCTCCAGGAGCTGGAGTTTCACACCTTTTCTCCCCCCTTCTCTCTACACTGCTGCCTGGATGTCTTCCCAGGCGGATCGCCGACCCCGTGGCAGGCGCCGCCAGCCATCAGACAGCAACCCGTCTTCGTCGGACCGTTCGAAGAGTCGTTCTGGTCGTGATTGTGCCAAGGCGACGGACGGCAAGTCTAGCTCTTCCAAGGCCTCCACGGGTGGCAACATCGACCTTATCTTAAGCTCGCTGCAGGGCCTTTCGCACCAGGTAGCGTCGTGTGCTAGTGATATCGCCAAGATCAAAACATAGATGGACCTTTCACAATTGCGCTGTGATCAACTCACGGCATCGATGCAGACAATGGGAGGTGACATTCATTCGAGGGTCACGCAGCTTGAGGGAGAGCATGCGGCTGCGCTGACGGACCTGAAGAGTACGATTGGGGCGATGAACGCCAGGATGTGTGAAATGGAGTGCACGCCGCCCTGAAGGCGATGTCAGACACCGAGTCGGCTGTTTCATGGAGTGTGCAGGAACAGACTGGTGACATTGAGTCGAAGCTGGCGCTGATCACGGCCCCTCTGGCCTCTTCTCGCGTGCCTCTTCATGCTCATGCGGCCCCACGGAACGTGGCAGCATTCTCAAGAATGTTGGTGAAGCGACTCATTCTAAATGTGCGCCCGCTGCAGTTCAGAAGAACACCGCGATCACAGCAGTTGATTAATCGCGCAAGATGACTTTACATGTCGAGTCGGCTTCTGAGGCCAGTACTTGCCTCACCCAGTTTGAAGCAGATGGTGAATTCACGCACGCAGGCCCCCTGTCGGACACGCCGCTGAAGCTGAGGGTTCGTAGAGATGTTGAATCTCGGAGCCGCCTTTTGTTTCCAAGCATGAGCTGCCTCCGTGCTGCCATGGCTTTGCTCTTCAAGTTTCGTGGGTACGATGTCAACAACAATGGTCTTGGGGGACTGCGTTTATGTTTTTCGCAAGCCTGACGATTCCGCCCCCCCCGGCGAATCGCAGGTTGAACGAGAAGGGTTCCAAGGTTGATCTTGACCTTGAGCTCGACGCACTCCAGGACTTCGGTATCCACCCGCATATGTATTCTTTTCGTGAGACGGCAGCCGTGCAGATGAAGCAGCCCTTTCGCCGATGAAGGGCGCCGTCTGCTGCCTGCCCAGTCTAACTCGCACTGCCTGGTGACAAAGTGGTTCCGCCAGGTTTCCAGCCCTCCCCATCCTTCTCCGCCCTTACTTCCTTCGAAGAGTTTTGAAGGCATTGGTGAGGTTTGTTCCAGCCCCCCTCTAATATCATACCCTTCCCTCCTGGCGCGGCGTTCTCAGTCTGCAGTTGGAACGCGCGCGGACATTACAGCAACGTTCGCAACGCTTCCTGGCGTTCCAACGCCAGATATCAGTCTTTCCTTTCGGACTTTCGGAAGTTTCAGATTTCTTGTGATCCGGGGACTCATGGTCATTGTGGAAATGCCGGAGTGCTCGTCAGGGAGCTGGATGGGCCCCGCTTCGGGCACAACATCGGTTATTCGGTCTCCGCGGGCTCCTTTCGGGAAGGCTGGGTTGTTACCGTCTACGGCCCAGAAATCACTGATCTGTTCCCATCTATTGTTCATCGTGAAATTTTCGCGGGTCGGTCGAGCGCTGCAGATCTCCTGCCCTGGCCCCCCGAGGTAGCCTGGCGATTTTCAATATTCGCTTGCCGAACACGAGTGACCTGCTCGCTGCGCACGCTGTTGCTTCTAAGGTTGTTCGCTCCGCCGTTGATGCCCGCGTGTTTCAGCTTTGCGATCGAGGATTGGGGCGGGGCGAAGGGTGACGGCAGTGGCTGGGCTTCTGGGGATCGCGTCCCCTCCAGATGATTTCGCAAAATGATCCTCACTGTCGCGGAACTACACCAAGAATGCGACGCGCGCCGCGGGGTGAGGGGATGGGGCCAGTATGAGCACGGCTCGCTTTAATCGCATATTATCGTCCTTGCCGCGGGCCTCTCTGCGCGATTGCGACGCCGGGGGTGGCGCGGTGGGTCGGCCGAAGGCCAAGTCTGCGAGTGGCCGCGTGCGTGCATTTGCGACCCCCTGGCCGCTGGCCCCCTCCATCGAGCGCGCAGCCATCCCGTTGCGCCTTGCTCTCCGCCCTGAGCTCGTTCCTCGTCTCGAGCCCCTTCTTGTCGAGCTTGATGTGAGCGCGCCCGGCGTCTCTGAGTGGGATAGATTGCAGGCTGTCAAGTCGCTACTGTCGGCGGCCGCTCAGCAGGTTCGGTCGCGCCTCACACCGCTCGTCGCGGACGCGCTTCAGCGGGATCATCACTGGGCGACGCGTGCATTGAGGGGGGTGAGTTTAGGGAAGGATTGGATGGTGACTGCTGCTCTGGAGTCATGAACGCGGTCTCTGCTCGCTCATCCGCTCTATTCAGACGCAGCTGCTAGGTCAGGAGCACGGGGGGCCGATCGCCCGGGTGCCCCTGAACCATCGGGGAATAACAGATCAGAGCCCGTGTTCAACGACGCCGATATATTTTCGGGTGCGATTTCGGGGCCGCTCCTGCATCGCCTGCATCTGCGATTGAACGCGCGGCCCGCGTGGGTCCATGGTGCGTTCCGCAGAGGTTTTACATGGCCACCGGCCTCAGGTTCTTGCCCCCCGGGACCCTGGCGGCGAATGATGGCTGGCCCGAGGTCTTGAGCTATATCCAGGAGAGCGCGGAGGCCCGGCCCATGGAACGGCAGGTCCCCTAGATGCAGCTGCGTGAATGCGCGCGCGCTCGCGGTGGCATATGCCTGGGCCTGGCGGCGCCCCGTTCGGCGCCTGGACGGCGCCCGCGGCTGCTAGAGCTTTGCGCGACGTCTACCCGCGTTTCTGCAACGGGGCAGTTGAGAGCCTGCCTCGTTGCGCGCGTCACAACTTGACGTTTTCCTTCCGAAGGGCTCGGGCCCCTTGGACGCGACTCAGCGCGCTGAGAAAGGGGCCCCTCAGTCCTGCTTCCAGGGTTTTGGGCCCCCCGGGGCCCAAAAGACAATCGCCCCCTCTGCGCGAGTAGCGCGCGCGTCGAAGTCCTGGCGGGCACGGCGGCGCCCCCGCTTGCTGCTGACGCTGCCCTTGCTGTTTTCTCCTGCGCGGAAGCGCGTGGAGTCCGAAGACGCGATCGCGGTCGCCATTGATGCCGAGGCCCGGGCGCTCGAGCACAATTTTATGGCGCGAAAGAGAACGCGGGTTCATTGATGGATTTCTGCGCGGCTTCCCTGTCGTCGGCGACGCTCCTGCTGCTGCGCGCCCTGGGCTAGATGGGGGTTGGCGCGGTGCTTCTTTCTTTGCGACGCTCCTGTGTCAGGGGCAATATTCGGGAGCAAGATTACAACGCCCACCCCGCAATACAGATGCCAAAATAGTTTCGTTACTCGTGGCGCGAAATTTGCTTCGGGGCCCAGATGCCGACTTCGGGGGGTCGCAGGGGGCGGCTTGGACGAGTTGCCGACGCTTCGCGGAGGCCGCCTTCGCGGGGGCCCGGCGAGCCCGCCGACTGCGCGCGGCCCTGCAGGTCGCCGCCAGCATCTATGATGCTCGCACTCGTCTGCACGGGCGGGGCTGGTCCTCGCGAGCCCGCGGCGTTTCCAGAGGCGTTTCGTTTTTCTGCGGGACAGCGGGCGCATGCAAATAAATCACCAACAAAGCATGATGTACATCCGCCCGAACGAGGTATACACCCACCCAAATATTTTTACACCCGAGCAAACATATAACACATGTTTCAAGAAAGCGACGTATGCACCCGCCAAACCCGGTGCACCGAAAATTTGCGTATTTCTACAGGCGAAAACCTTTTGGCGCTGAGTCGCCATGTCAGTGCCTGCGGCGAGAGCCGCGTGGCTTACTCATATCAGCAAGCTGCGGATTGCTTGTCGTGCTCCAGGACGGATGCCTAAGGTGTGTGCGGCTCCGCGCGCGTGGCTTGTTCGGCCACGTGCATCCTGCCAGTCTTCCCGACGATGGAAATGCGACGTCGGGATACC